AAACCGAACAAGAAGAAAGAACTTGAAACTAGAGTTAAAAAAATAAATATAAATTAAGAAAGAAAGATATCAAACCGAACAAGAAGAAAGAACTTGAAACTAGAGTTAAAAAAATAAATATAAATTAAGAAAGAAAGATATCAAACCAAACAAGAAGAAAGAACTTGAAACTAGAGTTAAAAAAATAAATATAAATTAAGAAAGAAAGATATCAAACCGAACAAGAAGAAAGAACTTGAAACTAGAGTAAAAGTACACAAAACACTTGAAGAGCTTTCCACTTCTAAACAGCTCCTATTTTTTAAAAAATTCCATAGACAATACACAAACCCATAACTTAGATAGATAAAATAATTCTTCTTCTGCCGTGAGAACTAACCAGGTTTGAGATCATAGTGAATAATTGGTGGTTTGATCTCATTCAAATACTTGAGAGCATGTACCACCTGCATGATGATACATCGAGCCTCCTTCTCTGGCATGCTCTTATGCTGCTTCAGGTAAAAGTCTAGATCATGACCATCACAGTACTCCAACACCGTGCAGAAGCTACGATTAAAAAAAAAAAGTGTCAGCTTAAGGTTCCACAAATAATAGTGAAGTTTGTGGATACAACAAAATACGAGTAAAAATTACTTTCAAAATTTTAAGTTACTTCAATTAATTATATCATGTTAGTTTCCTAAAAACTATTAAATTTCATATTAAAACTGAAACACCAAGTCGTAGGAGAAAGAATACACAAACATTTAACCACAATTTAAACTACTTTCTTCGTACAGAATAAGTTTTTTCCCTCCATACATTTACAAATTTCCTTAGACGTTTTACATTTTGTACTTACGAGTTAGCATCTATTTCAAATACATCATAAAGTTTCACGACTCGAGGATGGTCAAGAGCTTTGTGGATGTTGTACTCCCTTAGGGCATGCCTGGAAACACATCAAAAAAATATCTTGTACAGAAAAGTTTATATTATCAAAATTCCTCTAGATTAAATTGCAAAAATATCCATATAGTCATAAAAAAAGTTTTAAAGAAATACATAACAAATAAGTCTGATGTTTGTTACACCATCCACAAAGAGATAAAGTTGATGAATTACATGTTAGAAGATATGACTATATTTATACACCTGCAAATGTAATAAAACAGATTATATATACACATTTATCACATAACTGTTGCTAATAGTTCTAATGATATACATATATATATAAATATAAGTGTATAACACAGAATGACCAAAAAAAGTTAGTTACATCACTCTTAAATCTCTTCTGTATGGATAACATCTGATTCACAGCACCAAAAATTTGTTGATCTTTTGGCATACTTACATACTGTTTATGTATATTTATAGGTTAGTGTGAAACACATCAAAGAAAAAAAGGATGAGTACATTACTAACTTTTGGACTATCCTGTATCAGGTATTACAACAAGTACACAATAAAACACATTTCACCGATAATAAAAACTTACTTTATGTAATTAGCTTTTTTGTCATCCTTCCAGTCTTTATTAAGTTGATGTATTTTACACGCTACGTATCTCTGTTCTTTCAAGTCGAACGCCTGATACAGAAACAAAATATAGAGAAAAACATATTTTATGCTACATTTATAAGCTACGTCAATAGATGAAACAAAAGTAGTTTTAATACTTGATAATAACAATAATAAGATAACAAATAGGAGTTTCAACAAGAAGTACATTTATAAGCTACGTCAACAGATGAAACAAAAGTAGTTTTAATACTTGGTAATAACAATAATAAGATAA